ATGCATGGCTCTTTTGAGTCTCTGCTGGCATAGGGAGTTAGTAAAACTGTCTGTACTCTTCTAAGAGTCTTTTTTAGATCTTGTGGATGCCTGTGGTGCTTGTATTCTGTGATTCTTCACTGCCCATTTTTAATTACATTCTAAAGCCACCCGCCATTTTTAATTGACTGGGCAGCCCACCCCCCTTTTATACCCGTGCTCATGCTCGGTGCTGTAGCAATGATCACGTAAGGTGGAGCAGTGGTTATATTCTGCACATGCTCGTTTAAGCAATAAGCATCTAAGGCATATGCTACATGTATTTACCGTATAGTGGTTTTTTCAAGGATAATGAATTTTACGGATTTTTCGAGTATCATGAAATTAATTTCTTGAAAATCAATTTAACAAGGCAAAAGATTGTAGAAAAGTGGAAATTTGCAAGATTTAATTCTTTGAACCTCCAGAACAAGTCATTTGTGAAAATTATTATCCTCAAAATAAAGCCACTACAGTACATTGCGGCTTCTAAATTTTTTAATAAATGATCCTTATATTTTATGAAGGGAGGGAGTAACTAAGAATTGAGAGATGTTTCAGATTTACGACTAGAAATGTTGCCTTCAGTTTGCAAACTCAATGACCTGTAAATTAGGGCTGAAACAAATAGTATTTTTCACTATTCACTATTTGAATAATTGGCATGCTAAACGAACAAATATTCGAATAATTGAACTATTATTGCTGAATGATTATAAACTACTTTTTTGGTATTAAACTTTTCAAAATGATCCCAAACAGGGCTTCTTAGAGATTAAGAACCACTTTACCTGGCCACAGCATCAGTATTTAGCCAGTTGGTAAGTAAACAGGCTAAGAAAGCAGCCTGTGTAGGTGACATGTGGTGGGCGTGGCCATTAATTGTTGGAATAACCATTAATAATTTTATTATTTGAATAGTTCGAATAGCAAAAAAAACTATTCGAATATTGCTATAACGAACGAATATTTGAATATCTCACTATTCGTTTCAGCCCTATTGTAAATATTGCATCCACATGCTTAGATAAATAGACCTTGATTCTTGTTTTCATTTTGTGCAGCTAGAGTGTATTGTATGTTATAGAGTTGATAGTATAAAGGCTAGCTGCCATACACTATGAAAATTTATTTCATGAAGCAACACTGTACAGGAGTCAATGGAGCCTAAAACATGCTACAGACTCCATTGCTTCCTGTGTAAGGATGTTTCATGAAATGGCTTTAATGAGTGATTGAGAGGTCCTTAATTCTTCTCCGACTCGGAATTAAACAACACAACTGGAAACATGGAAATGGTGATCATGTCATTCAGTCGTCCGTATATCGTGCGGTATGGTATTAATTATATTTGCATTTATATAATAATTTGTGTGTGTGTTACTTCTTGTAAGAGCGATAACTGCATATATGCCTCATATTATTTGAATGTGCTGGTTACAGTTTTTGTTGGGGCATTTTTGCACACTGTATAGCACTTATTGAGTAGACTATAGACTAGTTGGTATAAGGCATCATTAGTTAGTAGTGCTTCTCTTGAATTACTATTGTCATGCAGTGTTAATGAAATGTTAATCCAACTTTGCAGTCTTCTTTAGTGTTTGTAATTCCTTTCGGTGTTGCGATAAGTTTGTGTCCCATGAAATGTAAAATAAGTGCTATACAGCGTAAAGCAAGTGTAGTATGATCATCAATGACCAGGGTTTCCCAAAAAACTTAGGCACAGTTCTCTAATTTATAAGCTGCTTACAATAAGGGCCAATGCCCTGTACTATAGTGCAGGGTCCTTCAGCCAAATTTTGTCAAAAATGGCTAAGGGAGAATTTTCCATATCTATAATTTTTTTTCTGATACATATACATATTCTTATGTTGTGTAGAAAGTTTGAGTGGATTCAGATTAAAATTGGATTTTTTATGAATTTTTAAAATTGCTCCAAAATTGGCTTAATGTCCCTGTACTATAGTACAGTGTCTTTAGCCAAATTTCGCTAGGAAAGAAATCTCCATTTTTATAATTTTTGCTGATACATATAGACATTCTTATGTTATGTAGCAAGTTTAAGTTTATTCCAACCAAAATTAATTTTTTAACAAATTTTAAAAGTACTCAAAAAGCACTATAAGCTACAGTGCATTCTAGTGCTTGTCAGCTCATGAAGCGCTATGCTGTTTAGCTGAAATTAGCTTGCTTAGCATGCTTTATGGGAAACCCTGTCAATGACTCTCATCATTTTAGCCTCTGATTGCACCTTCACGCTGATATGAAATAATTGATGCATACATTCTTTTGCATTGGAGACGATTACTTTTCTCTTTTTTTCTACACAATAGCCAATTTCCATATACCAAGAGAGGACGACGGTGTCTTTGATGAGATAAATTTCTCTGAGATATACGGGCCAGCCTCTGATAAGATAGTACGTCAGTACAAGGACGATGCCCTGGGTCTACCCACTCCTTATATACCGTCAAAGAGACCACGCTATGAGTCAAAGGGAAGGAACTATAGCTCACCTCGTCCTAAGCCAAGTCCTTATGGGTATGGAGCCTATGGGTCTTCATCGTAAGTAATAATTATTAGTTATTGCTTAATAAAAGATACATTACAACATGTTTTGTAAGTAATATTAGTTATTGCTGATGTTTCTGGAAACCCAAATGCATCAGAATATGCCTCTTGTTTCCAGTGCTTAAAATCACAGCATCTACTAACCTTACAGTGTATATGTAAATGAAGCAGTGCTCTCACTACACTACACAGCGTTATTAATTCTATTTTGTTCTTTTTCTAGTCGTTATTATCCACCTCCCAATCGGGGTTACTATGCTCCTCCTCCCCCACCTCATTATCGTAGTTATTATGCTCCTCCTCCTCCTCCTCCTGGTGCTGGTGGGTGGGGCCACATGAGAGGGCGTTACGGTCACCCCCCACCACCGCCTCCTCCTAACCCTCGCTATGGGGCACCACGCCCGTACTACAGTAACAGAGGCAGCGGTGGGTATTATAATCGCTATTGAAAAAACAACTAACTCTTTTTCCTCCCTATCTTTTCTTTATTTTGTTATAATTGTGCACATTTTTGAACTTTACATATTGTAATGATGCATGCATATATACACCATCATACCTTGGCTTTCTTTGTTTTAGATAAGATAGTTAATTCATTGTGTGTCCAAACGCCAGTAAACCATTTATGGTGGCATTATCTATGGTAGGACTCATTAGATCTATTTGAGGGTCTATTAGTTTAGACGCAGATCTATGGTTTATAGACCAATGTCCAAATTTGCATAATCTAATATACATGTTCTTATATTGTGTAGAAATTTTCAGCAGATTCTGTTTAAAATTGGCTTTTTTATAAATTTTTGAAGTTGCTCAAAAATCAGACCAAAGACCCTGTAGGCAGAGGCGTATTTAAGGGGGGGCTGAGGGGGCTTGAGCACCCCCCTCAGGGCTGGGCTCAAAAAAAATTACTGAAGTCCTGGACTCTTGCATCACTACCAAGCCTCTTAACAAAGTTATCTAGCCCCCTGATCATGATTTCAGCAGTTTCCAGTGCTTTAAGGAGCAATCAGAAGTACTAGTAACATAGCAGTATGCTTGAAATGATCTTGGCCCCACCCGTAATTGACGAAAATGCAGGAAAAGGCCGTTTTACCGCCGTAAAGTGGGTGTGGCCAAAATCGCGGCGCGCTTCGCGCGCCTTTAGCACCTCCCTCCTTCAATTCCTAGATACGCCCCTGCTGTAGGGTTTTCATCAAAAATGGCTAAAGGATAATTCGCCTTTTTGATACATGTATAGATCTATACATGTCCTTATGTTGTGTAGAAATTTTGATCAAAATTGGATTTTTAAATAAGTGCTCCAAAAGTGGGCTGATGATAGACTTAGCATGCTTTGTGAGAAAGCCTGTGTCAAGCACTATAAGACTTTACATAGACTATAGACACAAAGTGCAATATTTTGACTTAATCATGGTTTGATACAGAATGGTGTGATCTATCCAAAAAAGACCAACATGTCGCAGTGAATTTATGAGTAACCCTATACACAGTATCAACAATATTTAGACTCAAATGTCATTTCTTTTTTGGATAGATGACACAATTCTATAATCAAACCATGATCACTGATCAGATCAAAGTATTGTTAAATTCATAATCGTATTATGCAGAACATGAATACGATTATGAATTTAACCATAGATACTTTAATACATAACAACTCCCAAATTTACAGCCCCACCCAAACTAGACTAGATCAACTAGAAGCAGATCTGAACTAGAAGAAACTGATCGCTATGAAAATTACTCTCTTTCTCGTGTTATTTTCTTGTAAGTTACCATAATATTTTGCTAAAATTATACTGACACTTGCTACAAACTAATAAAGGCCTTTCTACACCAGTACTTCTAATGCACATTGAACTGGTTTGAAACCGGTTCCGGTCATTCCACACCTGATGCGCATTTGCTTCAATGAGCAATATCTCAAACCACATCCATATGTGGTTTGAATGCCGGCGCATTCAATAGATAACCAATGGCAGCTGGATCAGAAATGCTATCAAAATAATTATACAGGATCCTCAAGATAGTGTGGAATCAATTGATGCGCATTGAATGCGCATACCGGTAAGTTTAAACATAAACATAAACCAGTTCAAACCGCATTGCAAGTGTAGAAAGGCCTTTAGCTGAATGATTAAAAATCCTCCTTCAGCTTGCAACATTCAATGTTTTGTGTAGTCTGACTACACAAATATTGAATGTTGCAAGCTGAAGGAGGATTACTGTCCTAATCTAGATCTATTTTATCAAGAGTAGACCGTAGGTCGGGAATCGGGATATATTCGCGGCTGCTTATTTTCGCCGCACTCAGCAATTACCATGGTTACAAGATGCA